TGGGGGGCGGCCCCGCCGCGGGGCCCGCGCGGGCGGGACGGGGCCTCCGGCGGCCCCGGAAGGAGCGGCCCCCGCGGCCGAGCGGGGCTCTCGGGCCGCGCCGCCTCCGCCGCTGCCCCCGGTAAGGCCCGGCCGGGGCCCGGCGCGGAGAGCGCGGCCTCCACTCCCCCTCTCCGCCTTTGTGCCCGGTACCGGCGGGGCCCCGGGCGGCCGAGGCGCGGGTACGGCCGGGCCCGGAGCGCGGGGCCCGGTGCCGGTGCCCGCGTAGGCCGCGGCGGGGCCGGGGCTCCTCCGGGCCTGGGCCGGCCCGACCCCCACCTGTCGCAGCGGAGAGCGGGGAGAGCGCGGCCCGAGGGCACCGGGGAGGGTTTTGGGGTGTCCCCGCGTGGTGGTTCGGACTCCCCGGGGGCCTCGGGCCGATCCCTCCCCCCCCACCACCCCTGGGGCTCGGGGCCTTTCCGGGGGGGGGCTCGAATCCCCCCGGGACCACCGGGGACCGGAGCGGGGGGTTCGCTGGGTGGGTTGGCCCCTGCCCCGTGGCCGGGACCCCGCGGGGGGCTCCCTCCGCTCCCCCCGCGCCGTCGCGGGGTTTTGGGGTGCCGGAGCTGCCCCGGTGCGTTCCTCCCTTTCCCGCTGCCCCGGGCTCTGGGTTGAGGCCACCCCGGGCCCGCGGGACCCCCCCTCGAATCTTCCCCTTCCCCGTGTGCGGCTCATGGTCGGGTTTGGGGTCCCCTTTGCTGCCCCCCCCCCACCCCCCGCAGCCGGCCGGGGCCCCTCTGGGATTTTGGGGTGCACGTGAAGCGGTGGTGGGAGGGGGTGGCTGCAGATCGGGGCATGGACCCCCTTCCGTCTTTGGGCGTCGTGTTTTGGGGTGGGTTCTCCCCGCTCCAGACCCATCCCGGGACCCCCCGGTGCTGTGCACGGTCTGTGCTGGGCCTGGGGAAACTGAGGCGTGGGCAGGTGCCGGTGGAGGGGGCCCTGGTTTATGCTGCACCCCAAACCCCCCCTCATGTCTCCCACGTGGGAGGCACTGGGGGTGCTCCTGGGAGGGTCCTGGGGGTCCTCAGGAGTCCCGGTGTTCAGTGGAGCCGGAGTCACCAAGCCACCCCCCCCGAGGGGTTTAATCGAGGTCACTCTGGGCGTTTGGCCGCCTCAGATGTGCTGGGGTGTCTCTGCACTGTCCTCACCCAGCCCTGGGGGGAACCTGGAGGGCCACGGTGTGAGGGGGGGACAGGGAGGACCCCTGTGGTGTGTATGGGGGTCTCCTGGACCCCCAGGGAGCCAGGATCTGCTGCCAGAGGGACACTCCCAGCTTGGGACCCCACAAACTTGCCTTGGGGCAGTGACGGGAAGGAGCTGCCCTGTCCCTTGGGTGTGGGGTCACGGGGGGGGGGTTTGGGGAAGGTCCCAATGTCCCTGTGCTGACAGATTCCCCCCCTACAGCCGCGGCCCCCCCAGGGACGCCGGAGGCAGGATGGACGAACAGAAGGTGCCCAGCGAGGAGAAGGACTCGGCCGCGCCAGGTGAGCGCGGGGCCAGATTTGGGGGGGGCTCTCCCTGTCCCTGTACTCCCCCGTGGTGGTGACACCCCCCTCTCCCCTCAGCTGATGGGGCCGTGGCCTCGGAGGAGATGGGCAGCGCGGAGGGGGACCCCCTGAAACCTCCCGAAGGAGCCTCCGCGGGGCCGGAGCCGGAGAGCACGGACACGAAGGGACCTCCTGAGACTGGCAGGTGAGGGGGGGGGGGGGCTCAGGGGTGGCGTGGAGCTGGTGGAGGGGGGCATCCCAAATGTCCCTGATGCCCCAAGTTTCCCCCCTGCCAGCCCGCCGGGCCGCCGCTGCGCCCTCTGCAACTGTGGGGACTGGAGCCCGCACGGGCAGTGGGAGCTGCAGCGCTTCGAGCCGGTGCCCGACTGGCCCGAGCGGCTGGTGGGCGACAACCCCCCCGAGGGGCCTGGCCAGCCCCCCCCGGGGTCCGGGCAACCCCCCACGGAGCCGGAGCCGGCGGGCGACGACCCGGCGCAGATCGGCTTCTCCAAGGGGGTGACCCCGGCGCAGCTCTTCGAGCCCACAGGTGAGCGGGATCACGGCACCGGGGTCCCCGTCCCACCGCTCCGGGTGTCCCCAGGCTGCCCCTGACGCCCCTTCCCCGCAGGGCACTGCTGGGTGCATCGCTGCTGCGCGGCCTGGGCGGCCGGCGCGGGGCCGGAGGCGGCCGCCGTGGCCAGAGCTGTTTTCTCAGGGATCTCACAGGTGAGCGGTTGGATCTGAGAGGGGATTGTGGGGGCTCGGCCGGGCCCCCCCCTCGCAGCAGCACTGACCACCCAGTCTCCTGTCCCCTCAGAAATGTGAACGCTGCGGGCGGGCGGGGGCCACCATCCCGTGCCGGGCGGCCTCCGGCTGCTCCCGCCTCTACCACTTCCCCTGCGCCGCCGCCAGCGGCTGCTTCCAGTCCACCAAGACCCTGCGGCTGCTCTGCCCCGAGCACGTGGCCGAGGCCCTGGAGATGGGTGCGTGACCCCCTGGGCTGCTGGGACCCTCCCACCCCCCTGCGGGGTGCCAGGAGGGTGGGACCCAGTGAGGAGGTGGCCCTGATCCCCCGTCTCCCCCTTGGCAGAGGACGCGCGGTGCCGCGTGTGCGCCGGGCCGGGCGACCTGCGGGACCTGGTGCTGTGTGCGGGCTGCGGGTGGCACTTCCACGGCTCCTGCCTGGACACGGCCCCGGCGCCCCACGGGCGCTCGGGCTGGCGGTGCCCCGAGTGCAGAGCGTGCCAAACCTGCAGGTGAGCCCCCAACCCCGCTGTGAGGGGAGCGGGGTCGCGCCCGAGGAGGGGTTCCCACCCTCACGTGCCTGTGCCCCCCACAGGCAGCCCGGCCAGGACTCCACGATGCTGGTCTGCGAGGCCTGTGGCAAGGGCTACCACACCTTCTGCGTGGATCCAGCCAGCCAGGGCCTCCCCACCGGCTCCTGGAAGTGCAAGGTGCGTCCTGCTCTCGCTTTGGGGCGGGGTATGGGGTGCCTGCCCCCCTCTCCCTGCTCCCCCTGACACGCCTCTGTTCCCCCCACCAGAACTGCCAGGTCTGCTCCGAGTGTGGCCGGTGCCCTGTGGGGCTCGACCCCGGCTGCCAGGGGTCCACGGTGTGTGGGGGGTGCCAGGGGGGCTGCACTGCAGCCGATGCCCCCGTGGCACCAGGACGCTCACCACAGCCTGAGTCGCCCGCCCAGACGTGAGTGGGGATGGGGGGGCTGGTTATGGGGGGGGGGGTCAGGCCCTTTGTGGGTGAGGGGGTGTGTCCTGCAGCCCTGGGGACAAGGTGGCCTGATCCCCACTCCCCTAACCTGGTGTGTCCCCCCAGGTTGGAGCCCCCCAGCTGCAGCGAGCCGACGGATGTGCCCGTCCCCCCACCCGAGCTGGAGCCTGTGGGGGGTGATGAGGAGACACAGCCCCTCCCAGACCCCAAGGAGGCACCCCTGGACCCCAGGGAGGAACCCCCAGAACCGAAGGAGGCACCCCCGGACCCCAAGGAGGCCACCCCGGGTGATGGCGGGTCTCCTCCTGGCGAGCTGACCCCTGTGGAAGTGCCCCCCAGCGAAGAGCCCCCCAGTGAACAGCCCCCTGATGAAATGCCCCCCGACATTCAGCCCCTTGACGTGCAGCCCCCCAACATTCAGCCCCTTGACGTGCAGCCCCCCGACATTCAGCCCCCTGACGTGCAGCCCCCCGAGGAGCCCCCTCCTCTTGTACTGCCCCCCGAGGAGCCCCCCTGTGAGGAACTGCCCCTCGAGAGACCATCCCTTGCTGAGCTGCCCCCTGACAGGCCCCCCCTCGAGGAGGTGCCCCCCAGTGAACAACCCCCCGATGAGCTGCCCCTCGACATCCCTCCCCTCAACGAGCTGCCCCC